GCCATTCTTCGATGCAGATAAAATAGCAAAAGAATTGCCAATTGTACAACGAAAACATCCTGACATTATGTATACTAGCAAAATTATCAGCACGCAAAAAATATCGGAAGCATTCAAAAAAAAAATTGAAGGTATTTCTTTTAACCATTTGATTTTTACTTCAAACTATTTATTCATTAAACCTAATTATTTTATAATATTAAGATTAGAAATTTAAACAAGCAAATTTATCGTTTCTGATGAAATTCCTACTAGATAAGCATTATAATCAACTTATAATATTTAATATTTATTAGGAAACGGAAACCGTTAAAAGTCCGGGATTTGGGTTAGGGCTGGGTTTTGAAATGATTTTTAGTTTGAGATTTATAGTACTGTACTTTAAAGTGTATAAATAAGTTACGCATCATAAATTATCACGTGTAACGAATTTTAATGGCTTTTACAGACTACCGACAGATTTTCACTGATCGATAGTTTTTTAAAGCCATAAAACGTTACATTAGGGTCAGGTTTATAATTATAACGATACTTGTCTTTTACCAAAATTTTGCAATGAATTTTTTTACTAACGCGCAGAAGATGGTTACAAGACGAAATTTTGAGTTACAGCGGTTTTTTTTGAAAAAATGGTTTGATTTTACGTCACACCTGATAATAGTAGTTAAATCACCAGTCAAAAAATTTTCGGTAGCCAATCAGATTTCAAGATCTCGTATAACGCAAAAAATTGCAAAAAAATCAAACAACAAAAAAACGCTCGTATCTCGAAATTTTGCCTATGAAAGTGCGTACTAACAAAAAAATTTCCTCGTGAAATTTTAATATAACTATAATCCTTTAAGATCACATAGTCGGCGAAATTTTTTAGACTGGTGATACTAGATCCTTAACACCCGATCTTGTAATCTAATTGGTCAATAGCTGTCGATCAGTGAAAATCTGTCGGTGCCACTGGGGACAATAATTAGTAATTAGGCAAATTACTATACATATTAAAATTATTGTTGTTTTAAAAATAATTAATATTTAAGAGAATTTTATTAGTACACTATAGAAATGTATAAATATTATTTTTTAAAATTTTATCAATAAATTTTGGGCTTTGGTAAAACACTTCGTAATATTTTTATTTTTAACTTTATTTTAATACAGTATTGAATAGTAAAACACGCAATTTTTTATTAATAAAAATTTTAAGGTATTGTAATTAAGGAAATGCCTCTAACAAATTGGTAGTTTTTTAAAATTAATACTAGCAGGTAAAACGAGTGATGTAATCACGAAGTATACGGCTTATGAAATGGTATCCGTCCACAAAACCTTAAGTTTGATTGGTCCGCGTGATTTATGAATTCATCACGCATATAGATCAACGTGCATTCGGACAGAGTATAATTTGAAGACAAAAAAATGAAAACGTAAGCGATACCGTAGTTACTATAACTAACGATAATAAAAGCAAGAATTTTAGACTCAAAAATTTGTAACCCAATACAGATTAATTTGTCTATTTACCTGATATTTAACATTTTTTATTTTTTTTCGTAGGATTTTTTATTGGGTTGATTAAAAGATAATCACTGATCGTCAAAGACAATAGAAAATATTTTTCGGATAACCTGATAACCAGATAATTTATTACATGTTGCTTTGTAAAATTTTGTTTGATTAGCTAATGCGAGTTGATTACCTATAGTGTATATCAAATACTCCACAATCTATTAATTGAGATGCTAGATCAGTTCTCGTTTGTACGTTACTTGGACTATTTGTTAACTACTATATTTGCTTTCGTTTCCAGTTTCTAGCGCGACTACAGCACGCAGCTACTTTATTATGTAATACCCTTCAAATCATTTCATTCTCATTAATCATTCATTCAGTGGGTGATTATAAAGAACATTTATTAACCATTGGAATTAAAAACAGCCAAGCAATTTTACAAATCAAGAACATAAATACTTATTTACCATTACTATTATTACTATTATGTAATACCCTTCAAATCATTTCACTTGCATTAATCATTCATTTAGTACGTGAGTTTAAAGAACATTTATTAATTATTGGAATTTTGAATAGCAAAGCAAGTTCACAAATCAAGAACATAAATACTTATTTAACATTAGTATTATGTAATTTCCTTCAAATCATTTCATTCGCACTAATTTAGTCGGTAAGTAAAAATCATTTACATTCGGGATAAGGTTTAAAATAGCATGGCAGATGAAATAATAAAATCAATATATTATATATTGTGATTATGAAGCTACTCTGAATATGGAAAATGTGCGCATTGTAATAAAGATAACACACAACCAGCGTGGTGTCTATCATGCGACCCTGACATAGAAACAACAAAGTGGACAAGTAGGAATAGAGATATTGACGATTGCACAAAAAACTTCCAACTTAGAACCTTAGCATACGATGATGCAATCGAATGGATTCCATATGACAAATTAATTAATACAGAAAAAATAGGCGAAGGAGGATTCGGTTCGGTATATTCAGCAACCTGGTTGGATGGTATACGAAAAATTGAAGGAAATAAAAGATCACGTGAAGCATCCAGAATCGTTGCACTCAAAACCTTGTCTGGTTCTTTAAAAGAAGTAAGTTAAATCTGCTTATTCAATAATGTATTAAATAAATAATGAATCAATTGATTTAATTATTTTTATTTGTTCACTTAATTATAAAGTTTGAGAATCATATAACATGTGGTTTGTATGGTAGTCAACTTAAAATATACGGATTATCTTATGACATAAAACAAATAAATACATTATGGTATTTCAATATGCTGATAATGGATGTCTTTGCAAATTTTTAAGAAAAAATTTTCGTGGCAAACTAAATTAAACCTACTTAAAGATATTTTATGGGATTTAATATGATTCATGTTGCAGGATATGTTCATGCAGACTTTCATAGAGGGAATATTTTACAAAATGAAAGCATTAGTAAAAATATGAAATTCTATATCGCAGATCTAGGATTGTCTAAAAAGGAAAACGAAAATGATTCAAAAGGTGATTATATTTATGGTGTTATGCCTTATGTTGCTCCTGAAGTTTTATTAGGTCAAAAGCTCACGAAAGCTGCCGATATTTACGGCTTCGGTGTCATCATGGCAGAAATGACAACTGGTAAAAGGCCTTTTGATGGACGCAAATTTGATGCTAAGCTTGGGGCAGATATTTGTAAAGGATTGCGCCCTGAATTTGCACCTGAAACTCCCAACTGTTATGTTGAATTAGCAAAGCAATGTATGGATTTGGATCCACAAAACGGCCTAGTGCTTACAATTCCTATAATAAAATTGTAGATTGGCTTAATAAGATAAATGGTTCAGATGATAATGAAATTAGAAAACCAATTCTTATATGCTGATAAAGTTGCCGATTTCAATACATTCTGATGAAATATACACTAGTAAAATGATTAGCACAAAATTGATTTCAAGTACGCTTAAAAGTATTTATTTTTTAATTAATCTATATTAAAAATTGTTATATTTATTTAAATATATTATTTATTTAGATTTGCCTCAAACCGATTCTGCTCAAGTTAAACTTGATATTTAGTATGTATTATGTCGTGACTGAAGTTGACACCCGGCTGGAGTTGCAACTTCAGTTGAATGAAGTTGCACTGCCTGAAGTTGTAACTATAGTTGCCTAAAGTTGCAACTCTAGGTAGGTGCCAACTTCAGGTGCGGTAATGTGCCTGAAGTATACCTTGTGCCTGAAGTTGAAACCCGACTAATGTTAAAACACAAGGAATCAAAAATGCTAAGCAAAAAATTTGAGCATAATTAAAGATGCAATAATAAATGATAGTAAAAAATTGATTTTTAATCACTTATATCGGTGACCCAATCGAAGTTTTGGTGTATGACTTCTATATTTTTAGAACTTTTATTTTTTATCGGATTTTTTACCGGGTTGATAAAATGATAATCACTGATCGACAAAGATTTGAGGGAAAGAATGTTAATCATTTCTATAGCTAAATAATAATTATTATAGCTCGATCAGATGACTTTATTAAAAAACAAAGATGAAAAACATATGGGAAAACTGTTCGCTATTGACTTATGCTTCACATTCTGAAATAACAAATAAGAAGCTAATTCTATTATAATTCTATACCACAATCAAGAACACTTAAACCTAGTTTAATTGCATTTAACCTCTTCTGAAATTAACTACTCCAACTTGACCAACATTGTGAATTACCTTAACGTCCTCTTGAAGACAGTTACATAGCTATAAGAGGATCGTTTAATAACAGGGCTACTAACATAGAGGTTATTGAGTAATTATGTAGCTGCGGAGCTTTGAAAATATACATATAAGTATATAAATAGGGTCCTTGCACTGTCACTACAGCCGCAGAGCCCAATAAACAGAAACTCGGGTCCTTGCACTATGATCATAGATAGCCTTGGAGCCCGATACAAATTGCATATTAATAGGGGAGGTGAAGGGTGGGTCAAACAAGCCAGCCTTTACAAGGCGAGCAATAGCGAAGAGAAAGATAACTTTCTTAATTAAAGACCATCCACTTAAATAACTCGTACTAACCCTAAATTCTCTTAATAATCCGCCTTACTAGCAATCTTATGATTCCCCCTTGCTATCAATTACCATTTTACTAATACTCATAAAAATCACACTAATCAATCCATCATACGAAATCACAACAACTGATCATATGCAATCATAACAATAAACCGAGAATTACAAGATTTCCAAAATTTATTTAAAAAACAACTCAAAGGTTAACAATAAACATGTGACTCATAAAGTCATCTGAACTCGCAATAATGAATGCTTTGTCACTTTGTTGACAAGCTTTACATTATTATAGCTCAATCAGATGACTTTATTAAAAAACAAAGATGAAAAACATATGGGAACAAAAAGAGGATCACTATTAGTGAAAACCCATCCTTCTAGAGATCTGCAGCTTATCTGTACCTACTGACCTCAAGTATAACATAACTGCTTTACTGTCCCAGCCCCTATAGCACGAATCTGTGTCAATGAAAGACCTGCCTCCATTGCTGTTGTAATACCACTTATCCTAATACTATGTGCTGTAAATCTATCTTGAATACTTGCATTATTAGCAATTCTTTTAACAATGGCTCCAATAGCTCTTACTGATAACTGCTTTCCCTGCTTTGATAAAAAGAGGGGCTTATCACTTGAAGACTTTGGTCTATTTGTTAAATACTTCTTCAACAGCTTAATTGGACAATAAGGACTATTTGAATATTCTATAGAAATAAACTTTCTATTGGTAAATTGGTCTGTTTTAGAATGACCAATGCGAATCCAGCAAAGCTTCCTTCCAAACTTAATGTCTTTAAGCTTTAGCTTATACAATTCATTAGGACGACACATAGTTCTTAATCCAATTGTCATCAGGGCAGCATCCCTTAACCAATATTCTCTGCTAGCATATGGTGGTTTATGATCTACAAAAAACCTTAGAACAGAGACTGATAAGAAGTCTCATGGCCATTCTGGGTCTTTTTCTTTTTTATATTCCTTAAGTAAAGCTTTATATACTCTTTTAACTCTATATTCCTTTGTAGGATCAGGCAACTGATGTTTCAAATGCTCTCTTGATACTGCTGCCAAAACATCAGCACAACTCGAAAAGGACTGAATCAGATCTAGCCAAACAATACAAAAAACAAGTGCATCTACTGTAGAAGGTAACACTGACAAACCTATAAACCTACCATACTCTTTATAAAGGTTCTATGCCCTATCTAACTGTAGGTTCCAATTCTTGAAAACTGATTTTCTACCTAACATCCGAGCTCTAACAAGTAATTTGCTAATTAACCCACTCTTACATCCAAAAACTGCTAACTTAGATTCTTTCATGGTTCCACTTCTCCTAACAAACTCTTGACAAATGCTATCTGAACTGAAGGTAAAATCAGGTAATCTGTTTCTATATGCAACAGAATTGGCTACCATTCTGCTGATGCCCATTTTGGAATGATAATAGTTGTTATTAAATTTTGTTCTACTATATGCTGCAGTACACGATGGATTAGAGCCAGTGGTGGGCAAATGTAGTTGTTTTCTCTGGACCAATCCTGAGCAAAACAGTTTACTTCTTCTGAGTTTGGGCAATAAAATTTGCTGTTGAAGCAAGCTAGCTTCGTATTCTGATGGTTGGCCATGTGATCGATTAAATAAGGACCCTATTTTCTTTCTAACAGATTGAATAACACCTGACTTAGATACCAATCATCTGTATCTATGAATCTGGTTAAAAGATCTGCTGGATTGAAAGCTGACAGGATCCAAAAAACTTCACTTATCCAAATGTCCTATTTGTCTAATAGGCCTCACAGTCTTCTTAGTAAATCTTTTTGCCAGGGTAGTTTGCCACCTTTTAAAACAGTCCCAATAGCACCTTGATTGTCTATATGTAAATCTATTTATGAATGTTCTAACATCTTCACAAAAGAACTTATCCCTAAAATAACTGCCTCTGCCTCCAACCTGGTAATGTCTCTGTGAGTCTTCTTTAATGCCCAACTCCCAAAAGCATGACTTGAACTGAGCATCATTGACCATCCTATTGTAGAAGCATCGACAAAGAATTGCTTCACCTTTGATGCCTTCCAAGCTGGGCAGCCATTCTTTTCTTTTAAGTTTTGTATTACCCACTGAGCATCCTCTCATGCTTGCTCTGTAAGGTTTACTAGTGAATCCCATTGCCAAGAGTTCCTGTTTGCTGTATCTATTATTGAATAGAACTCCAGACAATGTACTTTGGCATGGGCAAAGGCTCTGTTTAGTGATTGGATTTTTCCCACCACAGCTGCCAACTCCCATGCTGACATCCTTCTTTTCTCTAGTAACTCTAAAATTGCTTTTCTTGTATTCGCAATTTTGTCTTCTGGAATAATAACTTAAGCTAACTTCGTATTTATTAACAGGCCGAAAAATTTTACTTGTTGTGAGGGTTCCCATTGACCCTTTGATGGTTCTCTTATTAAACCGCACTTCTCCAAATCCACCCTTATCACAGTATCTCTTATTATAATTAATGTTTCTAAAAAAGGGTGAGCTAACCAAAAATCGTTTAAATAATTTCCACAAAATATACCTAGAGACCTTCAGTAACACACCAGCATTCTCATGATTTTTGAAAAAATCCATACAGCTTGCAAAAGGCCAAAAGGAAGAACTCTGTAGTAAAACCAACTCCTCAACACTTGGAACTCTAGAAAACGCTGAGCTTCCTTTCTCATCATCACATGATGTTATCCATCCTTTAGGTCCTATGTTAGTATAAACCAACCCTTTCCTACTGTACATAGCAGACTTTCTAAACCTTCTAAACGAACACTCTTCACTGGAAGAATAGAATTTAGATGCCTCAGGTTTATAACTAACCTCCATTTCTTTAATTCTTTCTTGGAAACTAAGAATACTGGACTCACCTCCAATAGAAACAGCAGCCTTTCTATCTGACTTCCCAAACATTCTATTGCCGATAAATTCATCAACTAATTTAACTCCTTTTTTACCTATTGCTCTTGCTCTGTTGACAAGCTGTACTGAAATGGCACTGGTTTTGCTGTCAATACTAAAGCATCTCTTGAATATAATGAAACCCCATTTTCTAACCAGTCTATTACTACTGGAGCAGGACCTATTTTGTGACACCAGTAATTTAAAGCCTTTATCCTCTGCATTCTTCTTACAACTGAAGTTTGCTCACATTCTGTTGCTACTACTGGAGCAACTGCTTGCAGATAGTCAATCTTGTGTCTTGTGCTTGGAAGGGGCCCTTGTACTTGAAGAAGGGCAGTTATAGGCAATATGTCCGAAACCTCCGCAGTTAAAACAGGTAAGTGTCCTCTGATAATCTGAGGTACTGTAGTTAATTCTGCCACGAAAAATAGAAGACTTTTTGCTCTTTCTTCTATACTTTTCATGATCACCTCTTTTAGAATCTGAAGAGGAAGGTGAATGCCTTTTTTTCTTATGCTAGAAATTTCATGACCTATTACTATAGGACCAACCAAAAGAGCGAGCACCTGAATTAACCTAACTAACAAGAGGAATTTGATCCTTGTACTTCTCCATTATCTTATCGTTATTACCAACTATTTGTAAGGCTGTATTCCATCTTTTGTTATCTGCTAATCTCAGCATTACTGCATGAGACTCAATCTCCTTTCTGATACTAGTAAACTCCTTTTTCAAGGAGCCTGAAGGTGCTCTAATCACTCTATCCAAACACTTGTTAACTTTGATCAGAAAATCAAATTCATGCTGATCATATGCTTTTGAAAGTTTAATTTTAGGTCATGCTTCTTCTAAAAAATCACTCTCCTCGATTTCTCTATGTAGAGCAGAAAAACTTTTATCCATCTTCTTTTCTATATTTCCCAATACAGCTAAAAAAATATCAACTGGAACAGAATCAATCTCCTTTTTTCTATAAAAATGTGTCACGAACTCCTCTCTCATTTTATCATTTACCTTCTGATAATCTAGATCTGCACAAACATTTTCCAGATCAAAAACACCTTCTGCACTTGGAGCTTTATCATTCTATATCTCCATATTGGCATCTGTTTCTCTACTAGTTTGAGCTGGAAATTCAGGTAACTTTCCAGTTTTCTTCTCAAAATACCTATAAAGCCTTTCTCCCACTTTTTCTTTATTCCTTTTAGAAGAAAGGCCACAAGCGATACATAAGTCCTTAAGTTTATTTAAGGTCAGTTTGGTCCAACTAACAGTAGAGGTCAAATTACTCATAAATATATCAATAACAATTAAAAGTCAAAAAGTTTATTCTTATAATTAATTACAATTAACTTCAACTACATAAGATAAATAAATTGTTTATATACAAGGACAATCCTAAATATAAGAATGTGAAAGTATTACGAACAAGCCAGCCTTTACAAGGTGAGCAATAGCAAAGAGAAAGATAACTTTCTTAATTAAAGACCATCTACTTAAATAACTTGTACTAACTCTAAATTCTCTTAATAATCCACCCTACTAGCAATCTTATGATTCCCCCTTACTATCAATTACCATTTTACTGATACTTATAAAAATCACACTAATCAATCCATCATATGAAATCACAACAACTGATCATATGCAATCATAACAATAAACTGGAAATTACAAGATTTCCAAAATTTATTTAAAAAACAACTCAAAGGTTAACAATAAACATGTGACTCATAAAGTTATCTGAACTCGCAATAATGAATGCTTTGTCATTTTGTTGACAAGTTTACAATTTGTATGCACTTTATAATGATAGGGTGGCACTTTATGCTACATATTAATTATTATTTTTTTTTTTTTTGGTGTTAAGGTAAGGCCTTGCTCATATTTTTATTAGTAACTAAATAGCTGCGTGCAAAACCAGAAATGGAATTTTTAAACAAAGATAAGAGTTAAAATAAAAAATTTAGCATTTATACTAGCATAATGTTTTATTACTTGTATTAACAGATTTAATGTCTACTCTGTTTAAATGTTGGAATATTGTTCACAGATGTTAAAAAACTAAAAATTTTTAAACTTTTAGTTTGAGTTGAACTGGATGGTTTATACAATGTAACTTTTATGGCTTAGTGGCTTGTACTAACTAATAGATTATATCTGTATAGTGCATATTAATACTGTTGGGTTTGGAAGATTGCGACTCTATTACTCCACAATTCAATATCTCGCATAACATACAATAAGTAACCTTTTTGAAAGAGGGTGTTAAATTTGGCTAGTGGGCAATTAAGACTTTTGGTTACTTCAGGTCAACGAATGCAAGTAGGGTAAGTCACATGGTCAAGGCTTGAACAGCAATGTTATAGGGGTTTACAGAATTTGTAATGATAATAGTGTTAGTGTTTATTATGTACAATGCAATGTATTGGGATTTGTTATTTAATAAAGCAAACGAAGCATATTGCTTCAAAGGGCCATTTTGGCCTTTATTTATATTACTGAATTTGTCACTTACAAATGGACTTCGCACTTATTATTACTTTAAGACTTCTCAATGTTATTTACAATTGATTATTAAATTTTTCTAGTAATATTTTACTTCTGCAAGGATGTGTAATTTTTCTTTACATCCTCTCATACTACCCCTTTGCATCCGAAATACCGTTCTCGATCACAAATGTAACTTATTGCATTTCATATATTTTTCACGTAATCGATCATGATATTCTGGTATTACAATACACAGTTTAAATTTTTTTTATACATAGTATAATAAACATGTATATTGTATACATTGTTAGAGTTAGACATAAATTAAGTAATCAAATTATATTAGCTAATCATTGCATTTTCGATATTTTGGATTTTTATAACATATAAGTAATAATGTTATTATGTTTGTATTTGTTAATTAATATTGATATAAAAATTTCAAACTGACTTAATTTCTTGTTAAGTAATAAATTACCATGAAATTTATATAAATTGTTTGCCAATGCTGAAGTAAAATTATGGTCATAAATTTCTATCATATATAAGTATTAGATATTTGCTTATAGAATATTTTAAAATTTATTAATTTAGAATAAAAAAATTATCATAAATTATAATTTAAGACCTATTTAGAGTTGTTGCAAAAAAGTTTATATTACTATGAATTTCAAATTATAATAAAATTACCCCACTATTATGACTGTCCTATGGTCTTTTTTTTTTTAACTTAGTTGAAAATGTTATTTTTAAATTGTAATCTTTTGCAGACAAATTTATTTATATTTTATTCAATAATTGTTCACATTTACACATTAAAGTATTATTTTTTAAACATTCTAATCAATCATGAATATGCTATATAGAATTTATTGAGTATTAGATTATTATTAATTTGACTGATATAAAAGGATACCCAGCAGCATACATATGATTTGACTAAATAATATAAGCATATGATTTCTAAGAAGTTATTTTACCAAATCAATAAAGGTAGATGCCATTAAAAATAGCTAAAAGTAATATGGTTTAAAGTTTTATCTAATGTCATCTTGGAATTTGGTGAGTCTGGTGTTAAACTAAGCCAACTCTCATATAACCTATAGTAGCTAAGTCAAAACAAATGTGTTAGATTTGGTAAGTAGATTATTATCTGTAGGTAAGTACTGGTCTCTTCTCTGTTGAGTCTTTTCTTCAACTTACTCTTTATCTAATTTTTTATCTTTTTTTATTGTTTCAATTAGGATTTCACTATGTTGAATCAGGGTTAGAACTCTTCTCTATCATTCATTACAGTTTATAGGGCACATGACTAGGCAAGTAATCAATTATAGGTTTAGTTTATTATTGAGATGAACAGATATTGTTAAAAATAAGATTTATTATAGTAACTAGTTTTATATAACCATACTTTCACTTGTACTATAGGTCAGATAGTTAGTTTATATTTTACAATTGTAATTACTGGCCTTTTGGTCTAAACAAATTGCTTTTTATTTATAATAAATGTTTTTGTCTATTTATATTATAAGATTGTCTAATATATCAAACATATCTAATATATCATATGTCTAATTTATTGTATATACATATTTATTTAATATATTACATTTATGTGATATAGCAGATATATCAAATATATCAGACATATTTGATATATTTGACATATAGTATAATCTCAATATAATGAAGTTTAGAAGCTGAAGGATTTGGTTTGATATATAAAGGTTTCAATCTATTAAGATACCTTATTATAATGAATCTATATAGTCTTGGGCACCTTGCTATAATGAAGATTTATAACCTATACTGTACAACTT